GCCGCACGGGTTCCTAAGGGTGACGGACTTGGCTGCAGCTGAGTAACCGCCTTGGTAGCCAGCCCTTCGCAGCCGGTCCGGTTGCCCTCGGGCAGCCTGGGCCTCTGGCCCGTGGCTCCGGGCAGCGGGCACCTAAGTCAGGATGGGGTGACCTGTTCTGGGAATGTACCCCGACTTATGTAACCACGAGTCATAATCTCCGTATCAAAAAAAAAACCAACCGATTGCTGAAGAGCATAACACCGTACACTTCCTCACAAAGTACCTGTTACCATTCTTTGTTCCTCTCATCCCGAAGAACATTTCAAGCAATGGCTTCTCAACTGGTCAGTTGCCCCACAGGAGAACCGTCCTCTGGAAACAAACAGCATTACAGGTTTTTTATTTTATTTTTGGAAAGTGAAACAGGGTGATGCAAGTCATGCATGCTTCCAGCACCTTGACTATGCAGAACTGTGGTTTTGCACATATTGGAGCTTTATTTCCCAAGGAAAAAAAAATTTGGTGTAGATACTTTCTAGTATGTTATACTCACATCTTTATTGTGACAAATCATGTTTAAAAGGTCAATTGTCATGACGTTAAATTGAAAATAGACAATTACTATCTTAGTTTGTTGCTAGGTAAGTATATATAGCTGCTGTTAACCTCTCTATACTTCCCCCCATATATAGTGTATAACTTCAACATCAGTTATAGCAAAACTTTATTGTTAAGTGTAAGTTACATCCCATATACACAGAAATAAATTCTTGAAAGATCCCGTTTGGACAGACCATTACTTCCATCTTGTAAGACAGTGCTGCATTCACAGGATGGAAGAAAGAGAAGTATACATTTTCAGAAAGCGCACAGTTCCCCCTAGGATTTCTGTAACCATGGTAACAAATATAGATAGCAGGCCTGATTTCAACCCACGTTTTATTGTTCCAGTAGTAAAGAATTGGATTCTGTAAATAACCACCCTAGCCACTGGAATAAAATACTGGCCTTTTACTTCCCCATTAAAAAAAAAGCAGGTTATATATTGCTGCAATTAAACATGCAGTATAAAGTGCCAAGATCAGTTCCATAACAAAACTATGTGGGATGTCTTGCTCTCTAAGCCATGTAGCCACACTGAAGAAGGGGAGAGTATTAGATTTTTAATGAATCCAAAAGGAATATGAATGTGCTCAACAGAACTGAAGTTTGAAATTAAAAAAAAAGCACTTCCATCAAATTTTCACGTGTTTTATTTAGGTGAACATACACATGGTCCACATACTTAATGAAAATAGTCATAAAATAATTTAAGAACTTGTGTTGAAAGGTATTAGCAGCACCATCAGTATTGGAATAGCAGAAAATTCATGCCTCCATAGGGCATACATTTATGCCTCGATAAAAATGCCATCATTTGTAACAAGGGATGGGAATGGCTTTATAGGATGCTTTTGGGAGTTGGAGTTTTAAAACACACTTTTTGCTAAATACTTTGACGATTAATGTTACAAAAAATACAACTAAATAAGATACTGCATAGTATTTTAATTAACATAAAGAAATTGACATTGAGCTGTGTAAAGCAAGACTCAACATCCCTCCTTCCACGTACATTTCATTTCTGAGAAATCTAAAATTTAAAAACAAAATATAGACCTAGTGTATTCTCTAAAAGACACACTTTAGGTGGAACGTATAGTACTACGAAAATACATATCTTCCATTCTGTTTAATAATTTACTTCAGTTAAAAAGTTGTGAAATTCTCATCACAAGAAGCATATACAAATCCATGACTTTAGTAAATTAACAAAAAAGGATTATTTTTTTTAAAGCAAGGTTTAGCCCCGCCGTAACAATTATACAAGGAAGAAAAGAGACTACATTTATATGAAGGAATACAAATTTACACACATTTTACAGTGACTTATACCCTACACATCTACAAAAGTCACAGTTATTATACAAGCAAGTACAAGGCTGGCATAAAGCTGTTTGATACCAAAAAAAGTTTCTACTTTAAAAAAAGATAAACAGAGTTTCAAACTTCTGCACCAACTTTAAAATTCTAATCAGACCAAAATACACCTTTGTTACACAAATGCCGTTCAGCAAACGCAGACTGCTTTCCTGGGCGGGTGGAAGAGCGAGTTGCTGAGCTTCTTCTGGCCCCGCAGGCTGCGTCGCATGGTCAGCTTGTTTGAGTTTTTGCGCTGTGGAGTTGTGGACATGCCTTCGGGTTGGACGCTAATGTTTCGACTCAGGCCACGTCTTGGCTTCTTCACGGCTGGGCAAGAGTTGGATTCCTCCAATGTCCTTTTAAAGTTTGCTGTGGGTGTCCTCTCTGCATCTTGGGCTTTTGTTTGGCCATGAGGGGACACCTTGAAGCCTTTTTGGTCCGTGCCTGAATTTGCGGAGTTGGAAGGGGAGAGACTGACTGACAAACCATTACTGTAGGATTCATGTATCCTCAAAGCCAACGCTTTGCTACATTTCTCCTCCTGCGGGCCTGAATCCTTCAGGGTTGCTCCTGATGAGGGTAAATTGCTTTTGGCAATCTCATTTGGCAGCTCTATGTATTTTTCTGCTATCATGTTGCTATGCATGAGGGGAGGAATAGGCTCAGAAGCATTCAGTCGTGGCCATGGATCATCTTCTAAAAGCTGAGGAAAAAGAAAAAAATAGTTATATTTATGCCTAAATATTTCACCTGTGTTATCCTTTGAGAGTGGAGACGGCGTGACAGAACTTCTCTAAACCTTATCAGGGACAGAAAAACCCTACTCCAAAACAGAGTTCTCTTTTTCTCCACATTGAGGCACGGATACGAATTCAGACGGCAGATCTGACCTTGGTACTTTGTGCACACCAACTTCATACAAGCATTTATTTCAATCATCCAATTTGTAAGTGCCCCATAATAGCAGACACATCATCTTTTCAGTCAGAGGGCTGTTCAGACTTACTCAGCCTGTGTACCTTCCTTTTTGCTGCTATAAAATGCTGAGGAATCTGCATGCATTCCAGTGAATTCAGGAAGCTATGCAGAAAGCGGTGCCTGCAACCTCTGTCCTATGATTTTCATCAGTAGCATTTTCCAACATGCAGACAGGACTTCCCTCCTTCAGACATTGTGATATATGCACCTGTACTGCCTTCTGAAGATTTTATACATCATCAGATGGCCAAACACTATTAGGGCAAACAGCCAAAAAAGTCTTCCGACCTGTTACATTTAGAATTCTTAGTTCCTGCATAACCAGATTTTCAGGGAGATTGAGAAACTCTTCATCGTAGGTGTTCTGATTGCATACAGAAAGGGGGAGCATTGGACAAAGCTGTTCCTATAAATAGTTACTGTTTGCTATGCAAAGTAATGCATTTTATTGCCTAGTTTTATGCTCTACAACCTGCAAAGACAACAACTCCATGCCTCACAGCACATCTATCCACTCGCTGTGAAGCACAGTCATTCTGTATGTTGAAGAGAAGCTGTTTGATATGTCCTGAGAACCAGGGACTTCTTAAACTCTAATCCTGCCTTCAGCTACTCATCTCTTCTGCAGCCTTTGATAAGTGTTTTTGCCTCATTCTCAGTTTTACCAACAGGAAAATGGGGACAACACTTGCTTTCGCTATCCACAGGAGGATTATGAAAATTAGTATTTATGCAATGCCCTGAAGATATGAATTACGACCTTATTAAAGATTTAATTGTGAAAAAATCCCTAGTTACTCAGCAAGTCCTTCAAAAGTAAATTTCAAGGCCACATTACTCTACATACCATCAACGCAAGACAATAACTATATTAAGAAAATAATGTGCTGAAAACTCAAATGCACACACAGCTGAATCCAAGTCAATGTAACATCTCAGATGAATAAAGAGATGCTTTTGAAGTCACAACCCAGAACAACTTCAGTTCACCTTAAAGAGATCCATGACTACTCAGCACTTTTGAAAAATCTAATGCTAAGATTTAATAGAATGCACTCCAAAAAAGAAAATAATCAGAATTGTTTCTAGCATCTAGATTTGGTTTTCCACTCCCCTGCCCTGTTGCTCCCCATGTGTAGATAAAACCATTTAGATAATATTCTTTTACTATAATATAGCAACACAAGAGGGAAGACCTTTATGGATGGTATTTTAAAGGTTATTCTTCAACTCGGTTCTTGCAGAACCCATAAGCAAGCTAGATGACACACACAGAGCAGCTCTGGCAATGTTACTTAATCTGTTCAATTTAATTTTTGAAACTGTCTCTCTAGCGACAACTTAGGTTTTATGTTTTTATTGTGCAAGACACTTAACACTGTGGCTCTCACTGCCAACATCTCTTGCTTGGTACAAATAACTGAGATTGGATAAGGCTTTGGGAAGCCAAATGACATCAGAGGATGGACTGCTATAGGGTGATGTAACAAAGCAAGAAAAACAAAACATGAATCACCAATTTAATTTCTCAACAATCTAATCAAACAAATTTTATCACTGGCCTCAGGAATACTTGAATTAATTTGGTATTAGTAATTGTTGCCAGGAGGATATGCAATTAAGAAATACTTCTGTTTAATTGAGAAACTTTGATTTGGTCTTCATCTCCTTTCAAATTAATTGTTCTGGAAGGTAGCAGCTGTTAAGAGTCAAGACTATCCATGCCTCTTTCAGCTCTCTGAAGGCAACAGGCAAGTATCCTTACCCTTGCCACCCCTTATTTTTGCTGACCTCTCCTCTCTGGGCTATAATCCTACCGCAGCCTCCAGGAGTTCAGACTGATCTGGGGAACCACCTCTCATTTCTTTACAAAAAAAGACTCCTGTTCAGTAAAATTCAACAGTAATTTTGAAAGAAGATTAATTACCAACCTAAATTAGATCATATATTCACCTGCAGCTTTATGTATCAAGGTATTTACGTATTGTTTTGCAAATAGATATTGTCATCTATTGCCATACTTTCTTTTGTGAAATGAAGAAAATGGGGCTTTTCCCTCCTTTGAGGCTGACAATATCACTAGGATCACAAAGGATCGTAAAATCAGGACATTTCCTGAATCTCTCAAGTTATCACCATCAGAAAAAAATTCCAAAACGCATATTCTGAAATAGTTGTGCGGTTGTACTTCCCAAGAAAACTGGCACCTTGCAATAAGGCTACCATTTAATGTCTGAGGCAAGGCACAAGAAACCATGTATGAGACAGCTTTAGGGCAGAGTCACAAATGCCTCAGTTATGTTCCACATAGTTTTAATTTTAAAGAAAACACTGAGCAGACCGCACTCCTGCATGCACTGAATTTTACCCAGAAGGCTGCCATGAAGTCAGACTGCTCTATAAATGAAAAGCCTACAGTCCAGCCACTACATAACCAAGTTTATGAAAATAGGTTTTTCCTTCCATTGTGGCTCTTATCTGAGAAACCTCTGTCTACTATGAAAAAGGTAATATTACTCAGGATGGTGTAGTTACCAAATATACTTACAGGTAACTACACAAAGTTCTTGTTTTGCAAAAAACATACATGGAGACACAACTGCTAAGACATTTCGTGTATTACGATCTGCCAGGAGACATTGGGTTTTTTGAAGTCTTTCAAAACCATTCTAACAGTACAGTGGTCTTTTGCACTCTTTTCAACTTCCTTCTCACACTTGTTTTCTTCTGATATTCACAGGTACTCTGTGAGGACAGCTGGATGCTTGTTATTAAAGCAGAAACCTTTATTACATCAGTACTTTTAATCAAAACAAGCACTGAGAAAATGGGATCTAAGTTTTTTAATTGGTGACACCAGATCTATTTCAATCCAAGAGCAGAAAAACTTTTTCATGAAAATAGAACTAATTTATACATGTATTAACAATGAAGACCTGTAGCCAGTCAAAATTTTCTTTTAGGTTTTGCACATTAAGCAAAAAAATAGAATACGGCCTTATCTACATGCAAACACCACAATTGTTAGTTGTCTAAAGTTTCGATCTCTCCACTCTTTGTCACCGCCTGCTGCAATTTACCTAGATTCACAGATCACAGTTTTTCTTTTAGGTTTTGCACATTAAGCAAAAAAATAGAATATGGCCTTATCTACATGGCAAACACCACAATTGTTAGCTGTCAAAGTTTTGATCTCTCCACTCTTTGTGACTGCCTGCTGCAATTTACCTAGATTCACAGATCATAGTTCACTGAATCTACTCAGATGGGGAGTGGAATTCATAAGGAAAAAAAAAAAATTCACTAAGTCCTTATCCAGCAATGCTACTTCCTGGATATTTTGCAGTCAACACAGCTCAAAGTTTATTCAATGAGTACTGGTAATAGGTCACACACAAAACATATGGTACAACTTAAAAATTTAGGAGTATATCGGATTCAAATAATTTTTCTGCACTCAAGTTTTTTCTAGATTTTAAGTTCTTTTAATGTATTTTGCTACACTGGATGGAAGGGGACAAAGTCTGAGCTTGCCATTTTATTAGCAGCTTGTTTCTAGCAAGGGAACGTTAAGGACTCCCTTTCTAATTTTTGCTTGCTTTCTTACTTTGCCCAAAGGACAGTTTCCAAAGATACTGCAGAACATCAAAGGACAGTTACTTAAATCAGGAGCAGCTGGTAATTAGTGAAGCAAACATCCACTGGTAAATACACTCCAGTTCTTGGGGGGGCAAGGGGGGGCGGGGTGTGGAAACAACACACACCACACTTTCTGAACAGCTCTGCTTTATGTTAATGGTTAAAACTTCTAAGCTGAAGACAGACCTTGTAGTATAATGTCTTTTCCTCTAACAAAGAACATTAAATCAACCAGAGGAAGATAAGAAGATCTGAAGATTTCCCAATCCAGAAAGAAAACATTCTTTAAAACGCATGTTTGAATACATTAACTCATGGGTTACCTTAAAAAAACCCAACCAACCAAACCAAACACACACCCCACCCCACCCCCCCAATAACAACACAACCAAAGAAGAAGAAACCAAACCACACCATGATTAAGAACACATCCACAAGCAGTCTGCAACTCATCGGCTGTGCAAGCTATGCAAGTACATGGCAAGGTAGGAAAAGAAACTCTAGCCCAACCTTATTCTCTAAGGGGATGTGCTGAGGTGGTGGTTTTTTTCCTCTCTCTTAAACGTCTGACCCCCCCAGTTTGATTCCAATACCCTACTTCTGATTTTGTAGAGAATCTTGGAAAACTTACTTTTAAGAAACAGTGCATTTAACATTGTGTGAACTATATGCATAATGTTACAGTAATCATTTCTTCCACATAAGGTAAGGAGGGAATAGAGATCAAGAACTACTAATAAACGATCAGGGTTTTAAGAGTTACGAAAACATTGTATCCCTAAATTCAGCAATTCCGAGAGTTCATACTTTAATACTCTGCCTTTGGTGTTCCAAAGTCTTAAGAAGCACTGTTAAAAGTTGTTCTACTTCTCTAAAGCTTTGTACCTGGAACTATTGAGGATACAGCCAGGTAACTGCTGTCAAGTTACCGTCCTACAACTGAAATAGATTCTCTAACCATACATACTGCCTAGTCCACTGCAGTTAAAAAAAAAAATTTAAAAGACATGCAAAAAAAGCAACATTAAATAGTGGTTTAAGTTGACAGGCCAGTAGTTTCTAAAAGTATTACTTCAATCAGTGGCAATGGTCTGACTGCACCATTGCCCCAATCGTACATGTCAGTAAGCTGCATAAAAAGAAATTACTACTAGGGGAAGAAAAGGGAGATTGATACATATTTAGTGGGCTCCACACTCAAAAGTGGAACATTTAAAACACTGAAAAAAACAAATGTTACCTTGACAGGGGGGGTACAGCAGCGGGAAGGTGTCATGACATTCATATCAGGGCTGCTATAGCAGGGACTCTCCGCCAAGTTGAGATACAATTCTTCTTCATTTTCCAAGTTGTTTTTGCTATCTTGCAACGGCGAGATACAGATTACGATGGCACTAGTGTTATCTGCACGAAGCATGCGTTGCCTCCACCGGCCTAGTGCTCTGTTCACTAGCATTTTGGCACAAGACTGTCGGTGCTCTCCCTTTGTGTTAGAAGAAAGAGACAGAGAAAGCCATCAGGTCCACTTTACTTTATAAATGGAAGACGGACAGTTTATGTAGCACAGCCTGAAATACGTATTCCTATATATCATGTGCTGAAGTAGCTCGATTCAGAAACACAAGAGAAAATATTACTTGGAATGTATCTTTCTTCTTAGTGAAATATAACTTCAAAATCAGTTTATGATAGAATCCACATATATATGAGTGCTTTAAATCATAAAAGTGATGCAATGACTTGCATAAATAGCCTGGTTGTAACACATGCTATGGTCTTTTCCAGAAGTCTCTCAAGGAGTTTACAGACCATTTACTATCTGATGCACAGATGCTACGCTATATAAATTCTCAACTGTTTTGTAAAATAAGCCAGAGAAGAATTTAAGTCAGACTTTGTACAAATCATGTAAAAAACAATAAACAATTCTTTGCATTGTAACATGTGTCTTAGTGTGACATAAATTTAATTTTCAGACAATATTTTGTGTAACTTCCCTAGAGAAGGAACATGTTACCTTCTTTATTACTCACAGATACCATCCTGGTAGTCAAATATCCCCAAAATGACAAGCAAATAATTTAAACAACATTAACATGCATGGTTTTGACAGTACATGCAAACACAGTATCGGCCCCATTGTAACAACTTATATGTTGTGGGAAAACTATGAATAGGCCTAAACAACAATGCCATTGTTAGGTACTTCTCATACATGCCAGACTAAGCAGTTTTTAGAGGAAAAAAGTATTACATTTCCACAATGACTTATAGCCACTGCTCTCACCATGAAGTATTTTTTCTCCTCGTGATCCTGGCACATGGAGATAGCATCTTGAGGTGGGATCATGTTCCACAGTCCATCACTGCCAAGGATAATATATTTGTGCTTCTGAGGATCAATTGTGTGCACACTAGTGTCAGGTTCAGGAGACACAACAAATTCACCACTGTAGAAGTCATAACTCCAAAGATCACCTAGCAAAGAAGAAAATGTTTTTGAATTGTTACATTGAATCTTGGAAACTACTGAAAAACATTCCCATGAAAACCACCACCACCAGTCTCGAGTCACCAACAGTAATGCAAAGTAATTTCAGCACAATTACTGTTCTGCTGCTGTCGCTTTCCAATCATATTTATTAATATGTAGCAATTTAAATAAAAACACATTCAAATCAACCTATGTTTATAGGGGGTCTTCCACTCTCTAAGATTTTCAGAAAAAAGGTGAAATAGAGCAGATTAATACCTAGAAAACAGTGAAACCTCAATATCCAAACTAAAACTTACCTGAACGACTAAAGCTCTCCTTAAACAGAAGTAAAGCCTTACTTTGTTGAACTCACACCAAACTTGCAAAAATCTGCCTTTCCGGTTATTGGTACAGTTTAAATACTAAATACAGACAAAATCCTTACCTCTTGTACCGGGAATCATGGTGCAGTTTACAGAACCAGGCTGAGGTTTGGGGGAGGATCACATAATACCTTTTTTCTCCCCAACATCATATACAGCATTAGACTTCAATCTGCATCACAATTGTCTGCTGCCCTGCACACTGTAAACAAGTCCTTCTCATAGAGGGAAAAAAACCAAAACTAAAAAACCCAACTTTTTCACACTCAAGGTGCTAAACTGCCTTTTTTTAAAATGACAAAAAAGAAAAAAACGAAACAAACAAAAACACAAAAAAACCAAACCCTGAGATCCTCCACAGCCGTCTGAGCAATTGAGAAATGGAGAGTTATGTCTTGCTGTGTACGTATTTGTGCATGCAGGTGCCACAGAGAAGGAACAGAGGAAGAAGGCAAAGGAGGCGAGCCCGAGGCCTTTCTCTATTAACTTCTCTTTCCCATTCCTCCTCCTTCGGCATCATTAGCATCACTTTCAAAGCCATGCAGTGCTGCGTTAGAGCGTCCTTCCAGCTGAACACCATGTGCCAAATTTTCAAGTTGGAAAGAAGCCACAGGAACACAAGTAGTGCCTGGGTTCCAGCAGGAAAGCAGAACACAGGAGCTAAAGCCTCTCCCTTGGAAGGCCTCATGCAGTGAACCTTTCTATTTTTAAATCTTTCTTGCTATGCGAATGAGTTTGGGGTCACTTCACCAGTAAGGATGGCCTGAACTGACTCCAAGTAACACATTTGACTCAAAACATGTATTGGTTGGAGTGCTTCCTCCAAACCATCCTCAAGGAAAAACCACTCCATCAGAAAAATGCCTTTCCATATCAACTTATTTCCATTTCATTTATCAAGCATACCTGAAAAAATAAAAAGGTTGGGCCTTTAAATCAAGAACGGTATTAATTTGCACTAACACACTCTCTCTTTTTTATGTTTTGCTTTTTGGTTTGGTTTTTTTTGTTTTGTTTTTTACTTCATAAATAGCTTTCTATAGTGATAAACAACAAAAAGTAACTATTATTTGCAAGCACTGGCTAAATTTTTCCGTGTAGAACACATGGCCTTAAAAGTAGAAATTAATTAAAATGTCAGAGTTGAAAAGCGTACAGAAGCTTAAGAACTCCAGTTTAAGAGTAAGGTTTTGTCAGTTTTTTTCCTTTGATTTTTTGCTGGCTTCAGAAAGCATGTCTGTAGCCGCCTTCTGCATCCATCATCACCCTTTTAAAGATAATAAATAAGCTTTTTGTCTTCCTACTTCCTTCCATTAGCTTTGCCTTAAGCTATCAACCAGTTGAAAGGACTTCTCCAGAATCAGGAAAGGGAATACTTCAACTCAATTACTCTACCATAGCAAGCATAGATGGTCCATCCTCATTAAAGCACCAATTCACCTCCACTGCAGCAGCCGCCGACAGAAACACATGCTTCTAATAAGTGCTAATTAAAAGCCAAGCCTGCTTGTATGGAGGTGCACTCTCCCGCCGCAGACTCCCAACAAAGCAAGCCAGCTGGCAACAAGATCAAAATAAATACTGTAACAGAGGCACTAAGCTCCAGCACAGCAATTATTGTATATGAATTGCCACAAAGAGTCTTCATGCACTGAGAGTTCTTCACATCGCGTCTGTCACGGGCACAGCAGGTAAAATAAACAAGAGCTTGGGATCTTACAACCACCACATCTTGGCATCAGTGGCAGCATCAATTTCCAACATGCATAATATTTTTCTGCTTTTACTTGCTAGTTTGTTCGTACTTGGTTAGAAGTGACAAATGTTATTAGCTGAATCTTTTTTTTTTCCCCTAAATGCTGTGCTGTATGATAAAAATTTTCCAACACGCATAATATTTTTCTGCTTTTGCTTGCTAGTTTGTTCGTACTTGGTTAGGAGAAGTGACAAATGTTATTAGCTGAATCTTTTTTTTTTTCCCCTAAATGCTGTGCTGTATGATAAAAATAACCTGATGCTCTTTAATTTTGGTTCATCTACATACATGTCATCATGCCCATCTGCTGCTCTTCCTGAGAAAACCACTGAGTAATAATCATACCGATTTCAGAGAATCTTCGTCCAAGAGGAAGGAGACTCCTCATGGGGATGTTCAGGAATATCACAGTGGTTATGAAGAGGGCTCTAAGGATTATAAACTCGCGGAAGGGTGCACAGAGATTCTGGGAACACACACGAGGAATCCCCACCTCACAAATCACAGGCCAAACCCCTGACCAGGAGCCCAACCTTCTTAGTCACCACTGAAAGACTTCCAACTCCCATGCCTCTCCTCCGCAATCAGCTGCCCTTCTGAAGGCCGTGGTGGAACTCTACACTGAGGTGTGGGCTTGACACAGGAATTAATAGCTGGCATGCCATGATTTGCGTTAGAGCGACTGCCAGGCTACCTGATAACAGTAGTCCACATCTTTGGACAAATCCACATGCAAATCTGCAGCTAAGCCACATCTCTACAGCACTAGCATCATTCTTAACTGAGGGGGCAGAAAGAGAAAATTAGATACCACAAGCAGAAAGTAATTTTTCCCAAAAGCAAATGGTGAAGAGGAGCTAGACTAGTTTAAGGACTAACATCTTCAACGGCTAAGCTTATTAAACATGCATTTTTGGCAAAAAGCATTCTTTCAAATAATCTCCTGTAGCACCACCTCTGTCAAAGCAGCATTCCAAGGTTTCTGTAAATGCACAGTGAGTACTGAACCTCCATGAGTTTTAAATTCAACTGTACTCATCATCCATTCAAGTTCAAAAATGTCTAGGAAATACACAGTAACTTATTTACAAAGCTGTACGATGGAACAGCATTAAAGCACAATCGAGCAGTAACTGACCAACTCCAGACAAGTCTGGAGCTACTGAAAGCTAAATGGAACTCTAAACAGCACAAACTGAAAAAAAAAAGAGTAAAGCTTTTGTTCCTTGATCCAGAAAAAATTCCACAAAGTATATTTGAAGCCTGAAGCATATAGAAAAATCCAGATTCTTTCTTCCTCAGCCTAGATGGAAACAACCAGCACTTGTGATTGTCCTAAAGAACAGGGAAAACTGCCTTCAGTGTTCATCTATCATCGGTCTACTCCCAAAAACCTCCAAACTCAGAGTGATCAAGCATGCCAGTGATCCTTGGTAGAACAGTACTGCAAAAGAGTACTTCACTTAAAGAATAATTCTCACAGATCCTGCAACTCCAAGCTAGCAAAAACCAACCCATGTCACTAGGGTGATGTACTTTTTGTTCCCCCCCTCCCTTTTCCCTAAAGGGCAGAGCACCACAGATTAAGTCAATGCTTTTTAGAGCTGCTGCATAGATGGAATACTAATGTCAGCTGTGTAACTTTCTCCAGCCAGCTGGAGAGCACAGCATCCACAGCCACTGAGGAGTTTATGACAAACTTAGGAAGAATCACTTTACATGGCACCCTCTGTCACAATTCTGGGAAGGAAAAAGGGAGAGGAAAGTAAGCCAGAAAGCAGAGTACACTTTGAAATGCCTAGGGAAAAGTGCTCTGAAATCTTTAATTCTCTCCCAAAGCCAGGAGACAGACAAGTGACCCTTTGGCAGACTGGGAAGCCAAGATACCAGGATGATGTGATATGCCAAAGGCTAGTATTACAGAACTGGAATGCCAGGTTCTCAGACTTCACTTTGTGAGCCATACTATTTTTGTTCCAAATTAAAAAAACAAACATTTACAAAACTTTTAACAATCTTGTTCTCTAAAAACTTACAGATCTGGAACATTTCTTTTGGTGTGAGGCTTGCATATTTCTTTTCCAAACGAAAAATATGGTATTAATGTAGTTCCTTTCATATTTTCCAGAAAAATCATACCTGTTTCTTAGTCATGACTCAAACCAGAATAATATAGAGATCTACACAAAAATTACATTGCATCTTACGAAATGAAAAATCAATGTTTGAAATCATATACTAAAGGAGCAGGAAACTAATTATTTAGCTACCTATAAAAATATCAAAATACGTAGTCTACCTTACTATTACATTTTAAAACACAACGCAAAAATGTACTTGTAACCCAACTGCTGCCAGCGAAGTAATTGAAGTTACAAACAAAAACACCCATCATATAAGTAGACTGGATTAGATTAAGCCCAAAGCCTTCTTAGAGCAAAAGTATGTCCAGAAGTCATATAAATCAAGTCTTTCCTTTATGTTGCTGGAGCATGCTGTTTTGAATACAAAAATCTTTTGGTTTTAATAGAGGAAAGAAGTTTACTTTTATAAATCAGTCCAAAACGAAAAACCCATTTGATTAATCCCATAACTTTTTAAATCAAAGTTTTATCTAAAAGGCCTGTTAATACAAAGAGAAGACTTGCAGAACTTCCTTTTTTCACTGCTGATGAGGCAGCGCTGCTAGGAAGCGAGACAAATCTCAGCAAGGATACAGGCAGTAACCGCTTAAAACCATTTCCACAAAACGTTTCCACCAAAACTCATGGCAAGCGAGTCCTAGAGCCACAAGAGGGCATCTTCACAGCAGTCTAAAGATGAATGCAAGGCACCGTCCCGTTCGAACACGCCAGGAACGACC